AACTGTATAGTATCATTATATACTACCTTATGCCGAAGTTTTGTCCTTAATCGAGAATCAAAATCATATCGGAAGTGTTTCAGCGTTAAAATCAAATGTGCGGGTGCTTGTAAGATCGTAATGATCCTCTGCGCGTCGCATAATTTCGTACACTTGTCGCATCGATACTTGTTTTCCCCCGTAAGTTTCTCCGGCGTGAGATAATAGTTAATGAGATCTTGAACGGAAACTTCTTGGTTTTCCTGTATCTCTTCGGGAAAACACAACTGCAGGTCACGAAATTTGTCCGTATTGCGAGAGCTAGTGTCACATTGTGCGCATTGATAAGTGATCTGACATTCTCCACCTAGTACTCTGTGTACAAGAGACGTGTAAGTGCCTGTTTCTTCACCGCCTACGGATTGTATACCGCTGTCAGTTGAATCCGAATGAGAATCGCTAAGCCGTTGTCCTAGTTCTTCGCCTGTTACAAAAACATTCAAAATATTCAATTCAAATACAAAATGTATCACCTAATTGTGATGTAAATATAAACAAAATGGGAGCATGTTTATAATTCAATCATATATAAACGAAAATTACCTCGTGTAAAATCCGCCAATGATTGTGTTTTCCTTTGTAAAGCCAAGCCTTCTGTTAGATCTTCTTCAGTTGTCCAACGTTTAATACTACTTTTTGTTGGCTCCATCGGCAATGTTATATCATCTTCTTGCTTTTCAATTTTACATTTAAGAGTTGCTGTGCTATCATTCCCTCCACAGTTTGAATTGGCAGATTTTTCTTGCTCGTGCAGGACATCCAGAAGATGACTATAAAAAAAGTTATTAGTAGTTATAAGTTATATATAATTAAAAATTTATATATAAAGAAAAAGAGAGAATAAATATAATTTTGCTATTTTATTTATGTAATTTTATTAATATCTAATTTGCATTTATACATCGATATAACAAATAGAATTGTTTAATTATAATTTCGAGCAAAAATGATATAACCAAAACGATATACTAACCAGAGAAATTCTGAGCTATCCTGTTGCTGTCCAGGCAAAAAATACGTTGGCCGCGATGCTCGTAATATTTCAGTCGGTGCCAAACATATTCTCTTAGAATATAATAGTAATGCGAACAAATTTTGAAGTCTCTCCAGCAAGGGTGTTTTACCCGATTCATTTAAAGAACGATAGTTCAATACTTCTTGGCAGAATTGTCTGGTCATTAATAAGGCTTGTAGTACACTATTCATGTAGCAAGTATTTCCCAGGTTGGACAGTCCAACTTTTCCAGACAATGGCCTTTCTGGTTCCACAATTGGTTCAAACTCTTTTGTCTCGTCTATCCACACTGGCTCTCTGCAGAGTTCTTTGACAACATGCATTCGCGGTAGTACAGGATAAGGATAATTCTCTGTATTTCCACATGGCATACAAATAGAAAATCTCTTACTGTACACTTTCATAATGTCAACCAAATTTTGTATGCACTCTTTACTGGAATCTGAATCTTCCTTCATTAGATCTTTTATCAACGTCGGTATTCTTTTAACTACATTCTGAACAAATGACAATGAGCTTTGCCTCTTTAAGATGTAAAATATGATGTTGGAAGCATTTTGACGGATTACTGGTACTAGCAACACGCTGCACATTAATACTAATATATCTATCGACGATTCTGTAAGTTCAAGAAGAGTAGAATACTTTTGTTGTTTCTCCAAACCACGTATGAATTCCATAATCCAAACGCTCAGTCGATCTTCAAGCCATTTCGGTAGCCAATTGCACAGAACTTTTAAGGCTTGTATCAATTGATGATCGGTATGGGACTGAGATAAGATCCAATCTACTGCCTGTGGAATAACGGAAGCTTCCACAAGCTGTAATATGGTAGCGAGTCCTGGGCCTGGCTCCTGCTTTCTATTTGTGTCAGATATAATATTGTACAAAGTTTGGAGACAAGTAAACATTAGAATGTCACGCTCGCCGTTCTTTATGTTTGAACACAGCCCCTTGAGAAAATGCTGAATTTTAGTAGTGTTGTCATAGAACTCGGATATTTTTTTCGGCTCCAAGGGCATTTGAAAGGAAGACAGACTTGTGACTATCGCCTCGCAGAGCTTCGTGTGATTCGCCGACCGGGGCAGGTATGCCCTGTGCTCTGCCAATGTGTTGAGAAGCTCAGTTAAGTGCGACATGTCATCAATATCCGTGTTCTGTAGCAGTAGGGCGACGTCATTCGAAATGGGATTGATATTGAAACGTTTCTCTGTGATGTGTCCGGACATCCAGACCATGATTTTCGGTATCTCCGACACGTTCGCTATCTTACTCCGAAGAATATCTCTGAGAGTATCCTCGCAATCGATTAGCTGGCCGAGTTCACGGTCCTGTAGATTTTGCAACATCAGCCAGCCGTCGTTAACGGCTGCATTGTCTCCCGACACTATCAATTTCAGATAATGCCCGATGTCATTCTTCAATACGTGCTCGGTATCCATCTCGTTAGGTCGATCGCACTCGAATTTTTGTTGCAACTTATCCTAGCTTAGAATTATTAAAGATGGGATAATTAACCTTCAATCGACGATGAGTCTTGAGAAAATCAAAATTATATATCCCATGGTGACGAAAAAGCGTAAAGAAGGAAAAAAAGAACAAGTACTGTGGCATGAATCATATGCTACTCAAGATAATAGTCAGTTTGGATAGGAAGATGCATTGCAATTTATGACTTCCGTGCCTCCGAACATCGACTAGGGAATAAAGTGCAATTTGTATTCATTGCACTCTTTTTAATGCAACTAGTACAATTGAGTGCAAATCGGTTTACATATTTTCAATATTAATATTGTTAATAAATGATTTAATTCTTTCTAAGATTGTCATCACAATAAAGAATATATAATTAAAAGGATTAAATTATTTATTAACACTTCGGTTTGCATTCAATTGCACTCAGAGTCTGCAAATCTTAATACGTAAAAAATTTCAAATGGTAAAGTATATAAGTATATAATATAAGTATAAAATATAACAATAACAGGGAAAATTTGTAAAAATTCTTAAAAATAAATTGTAAAACTAAAATAATATACAAAAATGATTAAAAGAAAAGGCAAATACAGACTTTTGCAAAATGCTATAGTCTTAAAAACATGACGAACCAATCAGAGTTGTATTGATCTTAAGCATTAACTTAAAACGGTCTTAAACATTAAGATCCGACCATGAATACCGGCCATAAATACTGGCCTATATCTATTGTGTTTCGGGACTAAAATCTAAATTAAATAAAATCTAAGTTAAATAAATTAAGAAATAAATAATTAAATATATAAAAATAATAAATTTCGCAAATAAATATGCAATCTATTTATATAAATCTGTACAACAATATTAATATACTAAGGGAGTTATTCATTATTAGTTTTTATTTTAAGAACCATGATTGGTTCACAATGGCTATGATCAAAGTATCGCTACAAATGCTTTGAAGCATTTAATGGACCAATTAGAAGAAAGAATTTTACAAATTGACCAATTAAAAAACGCTTCAAAGTGTTTGGAGTATCACGTTGACTGTACCCAACATCTTAAGACAGTACTTGAGATAGTCCTAAATGGCTGCGTCTTCAACTGTTGTACAATTCTTCAATACGATTGGTTCTTATTTTTGATTCCTTATAAATCTAAACATATAAACCAATTATAATGAAGAATTTTACAAGGGACTCCGCATAAAAGGAAACAGGGAACATAGAATAGAGAATAAGAATTTCAATCTATCAGAAACTGTGTATTCCACAATACATAATTTCTGATAAGGATGAAATTCTTATTCTTTATTCTCTCTTCCTTGTTCCTTTTATTGTGTGAAGTCCATAATAGTTGCTTTCTCTGCTAAACGCAACCATTATAACATCCCATTTTTTTAAACATCCAATAAGAGAACTCGCTTCGTGGGGACAAAAATGTCCCCAAAAATGACCACTCCCCATTCAAATTTCCTAGCCAATATTTGTTCAGGGACAATGATTGGTCTCGTTGGCAACAACGCGAGTCCGAGAGTTTCGTGTCCGAGTTCCTGTCCGACATGGAGCGCTGATGGAGCGCGAGAGAGCGCGGCCAAGAATAGCGTGTAGCACGCGAATCTAAGCCGTTCCGTAAATGAGTGCCTAGCAGAGGTGGTGTTCGACCGAAGGCGATCGTACACGACCGCTCCCTCCGGATAACCTCGTCAAGACGTGAAACTCCGGCGCGATCGACAATAACACTCGGACGGGTAACACGGGCCCCGGGTGTGTTCCGCTCTCTCATATATATGGAGCAGAATCGCGGGAAACGCCTGTTTCACGTGCCGTATCGCGCGCAGTGAAACACGAGTGTATGTGTGCGTGCGTGCGTGCGTGCGTGCGTGTTCACGTAGCGCAGTCGCCGCCACCGCCGTCGTCATCGTCGTAATCGTCTTCGCCGCCGCCACTGCCACCGCCACCGCCGCCGCCGTCGTCGCCGTGCAGAGTAAAGTGGAAGAAGACACGAAGGGCGCGGAGAGAAGGGCAAGATAGAGAGGGAACGAAACGGACAAGAGATAGGCTGCGAGGGAGAACCGAGAACGGGAGCGGCAAGCCGAGAGAAGTAGAGAACTGGAGAGAACGAAGAAGAACGAGTCACAAGTGCGAGTGAATGAGTGAGCGACTGTGTGCGCGTGTACGTAAGGTTGCATGTGTGGCGCCGCGCGGCCGCGCGTGTGTGCCAAGCGAGTGCGAGAAGAAGGAGAGAAGCCCGTGCGCGCGACAAGAGGAGCGATTATAGGAGCAGCCTGCCGCTTCTCTGCCTTGCCCTCTTGAGGAAAGAGGAGGACGCGCTTTTTTTCCTCCTCGCT